CATACTGCAAAAACATGTAAATTGTAGCTTGCATATGAAAGTGTTTATTGTAATGTTGAGGTGCAACCTCTAGTCTAATGTACCATTACTTCTTTGCTGAGAAATGTTAATAGTTTAAGTGCCATATGGTCACATGGTTTGTTGGTCAATGGATCTGGATTCTCTAGTATGGCTTTAAATGTATTACCAGCATTGTTTGTGCGTTTTGTAGCCTGCTTATGCCTGGCTGAAAGGCATGCCACTGCCTGAAACCTGGCAAGGATTTCTCTCAAAGATAATGGTGCTGCTGTATGGACTACTGTGTCTGGGTATTGCCTTTGCTGCACAATATCTGGGTGGTATTCTTCAGGCCAGCCTCACCATCTTTGGAGTAGTTGGTGGACCACTGTTTGGATTGTTCACTTTGGGGATGTTCTTTCCCTTTGCCAATCAGATGGTGAGTTTACTGTTACAGACTCTTCCTGCACTTAGGATGATTAAATAAAAAAAATTGGATTTGGGAGAGATATATCGCATATGGAGAAAACAAGAAATGCTTAATTGAGTTCTGATTCAATGTCCCAATGAAAGGGATTACTTGGGAAACCTGAGTATAGATGGGAGGATAGCATTAAATAAATTTTAGAATAATATGATGTGAACAGGATTGAAATGGCTTCTGTGATATGTAATATTTGTTTCTTGTGAACATATTCATAAACTTCCTGGTTCTGTTAATAAGAGAATTCTTGTCCATCTGAATTGTTATGAACTATGCAAAGAAAGTTCTGAAGGAGCAACATCTAGTTTACTTGCCCTACTTGTTACCATGCTTTCTGTAGCCTATGTTACACATATTACTTGTCAGAAGTGTGTTGTTATGCCTAAAAGTCTGTTTAATATAAATAATTATAAGATTGATTAATTTGTACATGAACCGTTATTTTAGGCTATTTTCCTTATTTTTTAAAAATAAAAATAGGCCTATGAGATCACTTTTCTCTTTGTGGTCTGTGTGTCTGTATATCTGTATGCATATTCCCCCCCAGACAACTTCTGAATGTCTTATCCAGTTTTTATGAAGCTTCATATGTATATCATGGTACCTGAGCCTGTCTCAACAGCATACTTCATAAATTCCTCCCATCAGTAATACCAACATCACAGGCTGTCAAATTGCTGAGGCAAAACTTAATGTGATTTGAATGCCTGTGACAATCTTCATGAAACTTGTTATATACTGTATTTACGCATGTATAGGCCGCACATTTTTTGCCAAAAATTCAAGAGGAAAACTGGGGTGCGGCTTATATTCGAAATATTCGAAATCACACTTCATTTAAAAAAAATATATTCATAATTAGTAATACAGGGTGTAATACTCCTGAAATAATATTCCAAGAAAATTATTTTTTCTATAATTTCTGTCTGAAAATTGTGCTGCGGCCTATACACGCATGCGGCCTATACACGCGTAAATACAGTATATCATGCCACATGACGCCATCTCAGTGGCATGCTTCATAAATCCTTCCTATCAGGAATACCAATACTGCAGCCTCTCAAATTGTTGTGATAATAGTCTAAATATTACTTGAATACCAGAACCAATCTTCATGATACTTCATAAATACATATTATGCCACCAGACACCATCTCAACAGCACTTCATATATCCCCGTTCAGTAATACAAACATTATGGCCTCTTAAACTGTTGAGGCAATAACCTTAATATTACTTGAATTCCTGAACCAATTTTCATAAAACGTATATTTATCATGCCATCTCAATGTTAGCTTTGTTACTTTACATTGTTTTAATACATACAGAATTCAGGTGCTATACTAGTCAAGTTTATATTATTGTCTTTTTGATTTAACTCAAATGTTGTCAGATACTTAATTTTTATCAAAAGCAAAGTAGGCACTTAGTCCTTCCCAAAACTTCTTTTTGTACATGCAGTGTTTGTTTATATGGCAGCCTCTTATATACCCCCAGATATGATGTCAGCACTGACATGAAATGGGGCATAGAAAAAATTCATTCTGAATATTTCCACACAGGAATTATTGTGCATGATGAAATAGGAGTAATAATTTGCACAGAGCAACACAACAATTAAGCCTTCCAACACACATTATTTATTGATTCTAAACTGTGAACAGTAAGACCTGCTGTACATCACTTGTGAGATAATCACATGTCAGTTATGTAATTCACAGGTAAATGGAGACTTCAGTAGCAGAAGCAGGATGATTTGATTTTATTTCCCCAGGGTGCAGTAACTGGTCTCCTCACTGGTCTCATACTGTCACTTTGGATTGGATTTGGTGGTCCCAAGCCTCCTCCAAAAATGTTGCCAATGTCAACTGAGAATTGTCCATTGAGAACACAGAATTACCTGTTGAATATGAATACTTCAAGTGGCATTAAAATGATGGCACTAAATCAAAATGTCACAGCTGGACTTTCCAGTGCAGCAAACAGGTGAGACCTGTGACACATGTGCCATATCTCTTACTGACCAACCAAGTTTCATTTGTAGGATGCAGAAATCAGGTGACTTTTGAACTTTGTTGTATGATAATTAACCCAGCATTAATAATGGTAAATGCTGACATATGGGCTTTTCTTGCCAGTGAAGACACCCATACTAAGTAAGATATACTTTACATTTTACTTTATGTAAATCGCAAAAGAGTGGGCATAATTGAAGTACTTTATCAGTCATTCAGCTGTGTGGAAAGACAATTGAAGAATTTTCATTGCTGTTGTAAAGTATTTGGATGAAAAAAGCGTGAAATGGGAGTACTCTCTTAGAGCATGTACATGTGATGCTGCTGCAGAAACAGTTTAGCATGTAGGTGCACTTATCAGGTGCATTGAAATCATAATTGTTTCAAATTTTTGTGAAGAAACTGGGACACAACACAGCAGGGTTTGCTGGAAAGTTCTTAAGTAGCTGCACAATTGGCATCTTCTCAAGAAGGGCTCAGTTCCATGAGTGAGCGAACAGTACTAGATGGTGCATATATCTTTTTTATTTCATTTAGTGCATTGTTATGTTGCTGTACTTCGCTTAGCTCAAAATGCAGTAAAACCCCCTGTAAATATTCTTTGTGGAGTGCTGATTCAGAATCCTAAACCAATGAAAGTCTTAAGCAGGGGAAATATGACAGAATTTATTGACTTGGAATGACTGAAATTAAATGTCAAACAAAGGAGAACTTTAAACTGAGAAACATTTCATGGAGGTTCCACTGTATTCTTATCAGCAGTTTATTGTCAGATACTCTCAATTTCTGATCTTCCCTTAGAGCAGGAGGAAGTTTCATATCCAACATCAGATAAAAATATACATTTTTCTAGTTGTAGTCACCTTTTGTCGTAAATATTCTGTTTATTTGTATCTCTCAGACTAATATCTGGTATCCATCTTTAACTGTGTTATTAATCTGTGTTCACAGTTCCGATGACTACTTTCTTCTATATAGGCTGTCATACTTGTGGTATGTTGTGATTGGTTTCCTGGTGACACTGCTTGTTGGTGTCATTTGTAGCTGCATTGTTAATTGGTGTAGTAAGGAGCCACACACCACTTCTAATCCAGATCTCTTTGCCCCTCTTATTCGGTGCTATGTCAAGCAAAACTACCACACAAAGGCAACAGCAGATGATGACGATGATGATGATGATGATGGTGGTGGTGGTGATGATGTTGTAAGTTTAATTTATAAGTATTTATATATATGTAAAAAAAATATAGACTCCCCAGTTTTATGCTGCAGTTGTTATTTGATATAGTGCTGCTTAGTCAGTTCATTGATTTAAAATTTACTGACATTCACTATGTATTTGTAACTATCAACACATCAAGCCAATAAGTCCAGAACTTAAAGACTGAATATAGGTTTCTGTAGTGGCATTCCCCCTACAAATGTAGGAGGCATGAACTGGCATGAACTGCTGTTCTGAAACCTGACACAGTTCCTTCAGATATTATGTTTATAGCACGAATTTATTGTTTTTAGGTGGTGATGAAACGAGAGAATGGTGTTAGTATTATCAAGCTCAGTGGTGATATTGACAGACTGTCTCAGAGCAATGAGAATCAGAAACGGTCTCCATCGACTCCATTATAATGATTACTGGTAATGGTATTCTGTCGTGCAGTGCAGTGCAGTGCAGTGCAGTTAGTTGTCCACATCACAGAATGCACTGCGGCAAGCTACTGAGTCAAAACTGATTTAGCAAATAGCAAGGTTTACTTTGGTCCATATTTGATACCACTGGCAGAAAATAACACACATCAAAATACATGTCATTCCTTTCTGTTCTCAGTTCCATTTAGTCAGCATTCTTCCATTTTCATTTTATTTTCTGGGTGGCTTATGGATGAGATTTCACTACCAAGATTCCGTGCTTGTTTCCCTGCTCTGAGTTATATGACCTCTTCGATTTTATAACCCTAAGAATACTAAGAGGAGAAATTTTCACAAAGTATTTATTCAAATAATCCCAGTGTCTTGTTTATTTTAGCTTCCTTTATTTCCAAATACGAGGGTTGGAACTTTAATAGTGGCAACTGTTTATTTACAACTGATACAAAACAGATACATGTTTCAGAATTTTACTATCCTTCACTGTAGTCACCAGCATTGTGTACAACCTATTGCCAGCGATGTGGAAGTCGTAGGATACCTTTAGCAGCCCCTGTTATGTTGATAGTTCGAATGGAGTGGTCTACTGCCTGAAGAATCTCTGGAACAGTTCTGAAGTGAATGCCATGAAGTGGCAAGGGCTTAAGTCCGGGGAGTATGGTGGATGATACAGCACTTCCCAGCCCCATCGATTGAACATATCAGCCACAGCTTATGCTGCATGTGGCCGAGCATTGTCCTGCAAAATGATGGGTGGGTTCTGCAGAAAGTGTCACCACCGCTGTCTCAAAGCTGGTTGCAGGTTGTGTTCCAGAAATGAACAGTAATACTGCGCATTGATGGTCTGCTGTCACGGAATGGTATTCATTAGGATAACGCCATCACAATTGTAGACGAGAATCACCATAACTTTTGTAATCGTACAATGCAAAGGGCTCCAGTGTTTTGTTCATGTGTGTCGGTACTTGTCGCTACATCAAAGCAGAGGCAATGCCTCACACCCCACTCCAACCAACGGGACCTGAACCCTTTCGCAGTTCCGGGATGGTAAAGTTTATGACGGGTCGCATCCCCGGACTAAACCCAAACCAGCCCGACACTCTCCCTACTTTTTAGAAAGCGCCATATGTACTAATAAGAGAAATATGTCCAAAAGACATTGAAAGGAACTTTTGTCACTAGAGAGAGGTGGCCCTCTAACGGTCATAACTCTCCAAATGTTAAAACCCTGCTTTTAGAAAGGAGCGGCGAATTATTTCATTAGTAGAGGAACGGGACCAATTTCCAACACCTGATTCATCACGGACCTACTCTTAGGAGACCGTTAGATTGAACCCTCTCAATCCACCCCGGGTCAGAAAGACGGTGAGAGCGTGTGAACCCCAACTCTCGCCGCGAAACA